CGAAAAAACACATCTACCTCCCTGATAAATCAATTTGACTAAAAAAATGACATTTTATATTTTCAGAGCTGCAGACTGACTGATCTCTCCCCCTACTGTTAAATGTGTTTTTTATCTTAAACCTGTAAATTTGAAAAGCATTTCTTATAAAATCCTTAGAGCAGAAATCTCTCTATACCTTTGACTTAAGTGTGCACTAACTGAACCAGTGTTAATAATAATAATAATAATAATAATAAAAATACATTTTATTTGAAAGCGCCTTTCAAAATACTCAAGGTCACTGTACACAGTAGAATAAAAGCAACATAAAAGCAAGCAGTTTACAGAATCATAAAAGCATAAGACATAAACAAATAAAATAGCAGAGTGGAGAGGTTATGTGGGATAAGCTATTTTGTACAAGTGGGTTTTGAGTTTGGACTTAAAGAGTGAGAAGGAAGAGATATTTCTTAGATTAGGAGGTAGGGAATTCCAGAGTCGTGGAGCAGAGCAGCTGAAAGCCCTGCTCCCCATGGTTGCAAGACGGGGGAAGGGACGGAGAGTGAAAGGGAAGAAGAAGATCTGAGACAATGAGATGGGGCGGTGATCTTAACCAGATCAGAGAGATATGGAGGAGAGAGATGATGAATAGCCTTAATAAATGTGTACAAGAGTATTTTGAAATTGATGCGATATTTACATTGGAGCCAATGAAGCTGCTGCAAGGCAGGAGTGATGTGGTGGACAGAAGGGGTCCTGGTGATGATACGAGCAGCAGAGTTCTGGACGCGTTGGAGCATGTGGGTGGATTTTTGAGTAAGACCAAAAAGAAGTGAATTACAATAATCAATCCGGGAAGTAACAAAGCTATGGACAAGAATGGCAGTGGCATGTGGGGTGAGAAAAGGACGGAGACGATTAATGTTGCGCAATTGAAAATATGCAGACCGAGTAACATTATTAATGTGTGAATTGAAAGTTAAAGTACTGTCGAGGATGACACCCAAACTTTTCACAGAGGAAGAAATGAAGACCGGTGAGTTATCGATAGTAATAGAGAAACTGTTGGTTCTGGATAATGTTGATTTAGTGCCGACCAAGAGGAGCTCGGATTTATTACTATTGAGTTTGAGAAAATTAGAAGAGAACCATGAATTTTGTTCAGCTAAACAGAGGGTAAGGGAGGATGGGGGAAGAGCAGAATCGGGTTTAGTGGACAGATAAAGCTGCGTGTCATCGGCATAACACTGTATTTACGGAAAATATGCCCAAGCGGTAGAAGGTAGATAATGAAAAGAAGGGGCCCTAGGACAGATCCCTGGGGCATGCCAATTGGTCAGAGGGAAGGGCTGAGAAGTAAAGGATTTGAGTTGAATGACCTGAGTGCGATCAGACAGGTATGATTTAAACCAGGCTAGTGGAGTATGGGAGAGACCGATAGAGGCTAGCCTACTGAGAAGTATAGAGTGAGAAATAGTGTCGAAAGCAGCACTCAGATCGAGGAGAATAAGAATGGAAAGTAAACCGGAGTCAGCTGCCATAAGAAGATCATTGGTTATTTTTATAAGTGCTGTTTCAGTGCTATGGGAGGGGCGAAAACCAGACTGGAACTGTTCATACAGTTATTATTAGTTAATTGTGAGTGGAGTTGTGTGGCAATTATTTTCTCAAGAATTTTTGAAAGGAATGGTAGATTGGAAATGGGCCAAAAATTCTCAAAATTATTGTGATCTAGACCAGTTTTTTTCAATATTGGGGTGATGGCGGGAATTTTGAGGGAAGAAGGAACAGTTCCAGTGGTAAGTCAAGAGCAGATGATGGCAGATATGAGGGGAAGCAAAGAAGGTAAACATGCCTTAACCAAAACTGTAGGAATGGTGTCTAGCTGACAAGTAGAAGGTTTTGACTTACAGATGAAATCTGAAATATCAGTAACCGAGGGGAGCTGGAAAGCAGAAAAACAGTGTGATGGGAGATGAATTACACAGGAAGAGCTAAATGGAACATTGGAAACCAGTTCTTGGTGTATTTTGTGAATATACTCAATGAAAAATAACATTAAAGAATCACAAAAGGAGGATGAGTAAAGATGAGCAGGTAAAGAATCTGGTGACCTGAAAGAAGAGTTGAACAGTGAAAACAGTATCTTGGTTGAGTCATCTTTTGAACAGATAATGGTGGAGTAGTAAGCAGATTTTGTTTGATTAATACACTCCTTATAATACATAATATGATTATTAAACATTTCCTTGTGGATATTCAGACCAGTTTTTTATAAAGGTGTTCAAGTCTGTTCAATCATTAGCAGTATTTTGATCATTTCATAATCTTATAAAAAAAATCTAATGTAATCTGAAATGACCAAATTACCCTTTGGATAACACTTGAAACTTGAGAGAGAGATGAAGAGATCCAGAGATGAGGAGTAAATGAGTTCAAGGTATTTGTGGAAATTGTTATTTTAGCTCGACATGATGGTATTTACAGTTAAAAAAA